TGTGGCAGGTGCCCAAAGTCCCAGCTAATTGGGAGGCTGAGGCAAGAGAATTGCTTAAGCCCAAGAATTTGAGGTTGCTGTGAGCTGTGATGCCATGGCACTCTACCCAGGGCGACACAGTCTCAAAAAAAAAAATAAATAAATAAAATCAGTATGTTTTAAAGTTTATCATTAGAATTATTTTCAGAAAATCAATTGGCAAGAGTTTTCTAAATGTTTCCAAAGCACAGCAAAGGTCCACGGTTTACAGAAGAGATCAGACAGTCTGTATGATCACATGGCCGTGTCAATGGGAAAACTGGATAAATGACAGCGCTGACCTCCCAAAGAGCCAGGAAAACCAGTGAGGCCGCTGGCAAAACACGGAGAGGAAGTCTCTCCAAATACTATTTGCTCCTAGTTTCAAAGACTTCTTTCCCTTTTAAAATAATTTCAAATAGTCAAATTTGTAACAGCTGGTCATCAAGTTCATGCACACTCACAAAAGGAGTCCATCTCTAAGACTGACTATAAATAATACATCCATCTGGCCCTCACGGGAGTATCGAATTGACTTGTTGCTCCATCAGATGTCTCCTTTCTGCCACTTTACCAGGACATGGGGGAAGCCAGACTGCCACATCAAATGGATATGGTTACAAAAAGAGACACTGCATTGTGGGCACCCCACATTTCTGAAATAACGGCAGCTGATAGGATTACCAGAGCGTAATTGGATGCAGCCCTTGTAGAGGGGGCCTGTATCACATTACCTTTGAAAATATTTTAATCTAGAAGCACCATACACCGAATACAAAAATCCATGAATACCTGACCCCTGGGCGTGGCCTAGGACATAGCATGCTGAGCCATCTCCGATTTTTCTTTCAAGGGTAAAAAGAATCCTGAGCTAGAAATAGAGGCAGAGAATATGGAAATTAAAACAGAGTCAAACCAAGTGTTTTGAATGCTCTTAAAGAACCAAAAAAACAACAAAAGTTTAGATCACATTAGAAGTTCCCTATGTGGTCTTCAAAGCTGATTTCTTGCCGCTAAGGAACCCAGACGAAGCAGGCATGATTCTGAAGCTCCGGTTTTGTTCTATTATTCAATCGCAGTCAACTTCCAACTATTGAAAAAGAGATGAATTAGACAGAGTTAAAGGATTGCTCATCTGTGCTGCAAGGCCCTTCAACTTGTAGACTCTGATATCCAGAGATCCCAAGATATTGGTGAGTTTCTACTGTTATTGCCATTGTTTTAGATTTTTATGTTGATCGTAGCATTGTGTTGGCTGAAGACTTAGAGCAGCGTACTGCTTTGTGCAGTACGAAATATTGAGGGATCATACTTTGAAAGCTTTTAACCACAATCATCATTGCCCCCACCAGCAAACTCTTATTGTCATTACAGAGTCAGTAGGGCTGATCTTAGAAGTGTGGGGTGTTGGACTTGTGAATGTTTTTGGCTAGGTTAACCGGTACTTTAGTGGAGGGAGAAAGGAAAGGATGAGTAGAAACAATTACTCTTTCTCCTCTAAACTTCGATCCTATACTTCCTCCTCAGTTTGCCTGGCTAGCAGAGATCTATACACAGAACATATTGGGGATGAAGTTGAGAGATTTTTGCAGGCACCTGGCTCTCCCATTGTCCCTTGGTGGTGAAACCATCCTCTAACAAAAAATTGTATCATCACTGAATGGGTTTACTGAGTAGAAGAAATATCACCTACCAGCCAGAAACCATGATTTATTAACCATCTCTGGTCTCTCATCACTATGGAGTTTTGGTTTTCCCATCTATAGACATTCTTAATTGAGTCCATCGGCTTGCCAGTCATCCCAGCCATGGTTACCTTCTTCTCTTAAATAAGCAGATTAGTGGCTCAGAGCAGCGCTTCAGCACCAAACTTAGACTTCATGATAAAATAAACCACACAGGGCAGGGCTGTCAGCATGGTGATCACCTTGGTGTTCATCCCTGCTCAGGGCCAGGACTGGTGTATGTCCACTGGCTGGGTCCCTGTGATGTTCTGGACTCAGCTGCACAAAGTGTTCATGCTCAGAGGGGCTTGTGAGCTGTTGCTGAGCACACAATGGTCAGTGCAGCTGTGTGAGCAGTCATGGGCCCAAATGTACTTGCCTGATTTCAGTAAATCAAATTGAATTCTACAGAAAGGTTCTGTTGGGTTCTGACCGGAATCTCTTTGGATGCGCCTTTGAATTCCAAGATTGAGCTGGGCATTGATGTGGGAAGATGTTCCAGTACCTTCCAGCTACCTGTAAGGGGCCCATTATAATGCTAAGGATAGGGATGTCCTTTTCCAGAAAAAAATTCTCTTGATATTTTGCATGCACTAAAAATAGAAACAGTAGAAGCTGTTCTCCTACATGTAGTGAGAGCCTTCCTCAGGCTTATCTTAGTGGTGTCTCTTTCATTTTTTTTTAAGAGTCATAGTAAAAATCAAATTTTATCAGTTTAAACAGAGTAATATTTTGAAAGCTATGACCTAGTCAACAAAGTGTCTTTTTTTTCCTTTACAAAAAGGGCGTGGGGCTCAGCACCTGTGGCTCAAGCCACTAAGGTGCCAGCCACATACACTGAGCTAGTGGGTTCGAATCCAGCCTGGGCCCGCCAAACAATAATGACGGTTGCAACCAAAAAATAACTGGGCCTTGTGGCGGGTGCCTGTGGTCCCAGCTACTTGGGAGGCAGAGGCAGGAGAATTGCTTGAGCCCAAGAGTTGGAGGTTGCTGTGAGCTGTGATGCCACAGCACTCTACCCAGGGCGACAGCTTGAGACTGTCTAAGAGAAGTCCAGCCAAACTAGAATTTGTCTTTCTTTTTCCCTTTTCTATGTAGGTATCTAAAGACGTTTTCTCTCTTTCATTTTCTTCTCAAAAATTAAGACACTGTTTTACTTAAAATTATTCAGTAATGTTTTTCACCTTCAAACCATATATTTATGGGTTGATTTTAAGAATAGTTTTAGGGTGGGGCACAGTGGCTCACACCATAAATTCTAGCACTCTGGGTGGTCAAGGCAGGTAGATTGCTCAGTTGGAGACCAGCCTGAGAGTGAGACCCCATCACTACTAAAAATAGGGAAGAAAATGGGACAGTGATTGGGGGTTGTGGTGCCTGTAGTCTACACAGCTGGGTGAGGCAAGAGGATCACTTGAGCCCAAGAGATTGAGGTTGCTGTGAGCCATGATGCCACAGCACTCTACCCAGGGCAACAGAGTGAGACTTTGTCTTAAAAAAAAAAAAATAGTTTTAAGGCTCTTTGAAAGATTATGTCTTATATATGCAATTCCTTCCTTTATGCTTTAAATAGGAGCACCTAGCCTTCTGGAGCTGGTCATTCTCCAGTACCCCAATGCTGAGGTTCGTTTTTTCATTTTCCTCACGCTGTGCCAAGCTCTATGCCAAGTGCTTTATATGCATCATATCAAGTATTTCTCTCCCTATTTTTCAGAAGAGGAAACAGAGACGCGAACAAGTTAAATAACTTTCCACATGATATAAAACTAACAAGTGGAGAAGCTAGAATTAAAATCCTGTCCTTTCAATTCCTGCTTTCCCACTATGCTTTTGACTTTCTTAGGAAACATTTTCCCTTGTTCTTCTACTTGGGTCAGAATAGCCTGTAATTCATGAAGAATGAAGAACGTGCCTCAAATCTTAGTAAAAACTGCCTCTATAAATGATTTAAAGTAATCCTACAGGGATCTCTCTCTGTCTTTCCCCCCCAACAGAGCATCTTTTGGATTTGGGTTTTCTAACGCTGGCCTATCAATTAAGATTTTTGTACAATGTTTCACAGATGCCTTTACCACATTGGGTTAGTACTCCTGTGTTCTTCAAAGAACTTCGCTCAAAAAAGTATTTTTGGTCAAACATATTATTTTAGCTTTTGAGGTTACTTAATAAATCACAAGGTTATAGACTCATAAAATTTTGGTTGAGGAGAGAACCTCAGAGATCTGTTCACTCTGTAATCGCCTGGGCAGAGAACCCTGGCCAGAGGCTGTGGTCGCCTTGGGCTGGTAAACAGCAAAGCCTGGCCAGTGCCCCAGGCAAGATGGGAACACCAGTTACTCCACCTAAACAGTACTTCTGAGGAGTTGTCCCATAAGGTCACAGATCAAGAAGAGAGAAATATGTTTGAAATTGTGTTTAAAAAGAAAAAGAAAAAAGGACTCGTATACCCAAGTGGCAGTTGGTTTTGTGCTGACCACTTTTAGGAGTACCCCCAAACTCTCTGCTACCATCAGACTCTGTGTGGGCCCAGATTGCTCAGGGGAAGGCAGCCTTTCTGACTAGGCTCTGCCCGGGTTCTACTTATCAGAGAGATGTTTAGCAGGAGAGCAACCTCCAGGTGTTCAAAAGGCCCATCTGTCCCTTGGTCATATTTCTGTCAGTTTTTCTCTGCAAGGGGAAATCAAGAGATGGGGATCAGAAGGTCTGGAGGGGTAGCTGAAAAAGCACCAGAACAGGAAAGGTGGATGTTTGAGCTGAGCCAGCCTCCGGTGCCACATGACTTACAGGCTTGTTAATGACCTGTGGCTAAGGGACAGCATGGTTGGTACTTAAACAACTTTGACTTGGATCCCAAGATCCTATTTTGAGAGAACAAACTCCAAATAGTATTTCCTAAGGCAAGGTGATAAATATTTGGTCATTAACCATCCCTCAAATTGTTATAAGTGAACATTTTAACACTCCCCTGTTTTTTCTACCCCTCGCTATAAAAGCCCCGGTCTGCCCCTGATTAGGTCACAGCACGGGATTTGGGGGGGGGGTTAGCTCTCGGGGGAGCTTTCTGCCTTCGTGTTGCAAACTGAATTCCTTTAAGTGAAGCATCCATTTAGTTCTGGCATAGACGCCAGGCTGAGCAGAGTTTCGCGCATTCCTCCAACACAGTTACCAACAAGGCTGTTCTCATTTCACACCGAACAGGACGCATCCAAAGGGCCATCTGCAAAACCCCAAAGATGTACGGTGGTTATGATTAAGAACATGAGAGCAGGCAGCAGAGGCCAGGAGAGGTCAGGCTGCTCCAGCACGGATGATGTTTCGGAAGACACAACCTACCAGCAACAGGAGGATTTGCCTTACGACGGGAGCCTCTCTCAAACTGATGATGGTTTTGCCTCAAAAATTGACCTCCTTGATAGCTCAAATCAGATCATTTTAACAGAAAACGACTCTCAAGAGAATGCAACAGCTGATGAGATCTGCAGAAATGCAGCGAGGGCCATGCCGCCCGGTAAAATGACTGAAAACCTCGTCGTCAAACATGATAAACAGAAGCAGTGCCCTGGAACCCCTCATATTCCAGCTAACAAGGGAAACACTCCAAAGCCAAACACCTCTGACATCTTACTCCGACATCTTTCCAAAGACCAATTCTTAAGAAGTCAAAGCACCGACTGTGAAACTGCCCCAGAGATCTCCAATGTGGACAGTTTCGAAGCAGCAGCTATGACTAACAATATTACTGCAGGTTATAGGAAGAGTGCTTGGCCACAAGAAGAAACCTCAGAACTCACTGACCAAGTGAACCCCCACAGGGATGGGGCACGTAGCAGCAAGCCCGGTTGTTCTCCAAACACAACGGAAGAAAATACCTCTGACACGAAAGCGCTAGCAGCTACGAGAGCTCCCAGTCCTCAAGAAAATTCAAATTTTGTAACTAAAGTCAGGGGTCCAAGGGATCAACAAAAAAGTTGTCGAGGGCAGTGGCCGCAGAAACAGCACCTTGACAAAGCAAGTTCAAGCACCCGGTTCAAAAGTGGCCGAGGTCGCGTTCATCGCCAGCTCTCTGATTTCTGTAAGGCTGTTCCCAAAGTGAAAATTCCTAAAAATAACCTGATGAATAAGCCATTTAAAACAGCTAAACAAGCCAACTTTTCTCCTAAATTGAGAAGTAAGTCAGCTATGGTGCAAAGTATTTTAGAAACCATGCCTAGGTCCAAGTGTGTTGAAAAACGTCATCAAGAGAAAGAGAAAATTACTAAAGCTGCACAACACAGGCAGGTAAATGAACACAGTCTCCCGCAAATACAGAAGCAGAGCCACTGCTCATCTGTCTTAGTGTGGGGTTTTGGAGGAGGTTTGGTGCTAGTTCTGTGGTCTCACTCAGCCTCCTGGGTCACCCTGGGCAAGTACGACTTGACCTCTGAGAAGCCCGGTGGATAGTCTTATGAGCAGACTCAGGGGCTAGGCTGAGAAAAGCACACGAAAGAATAAAATCCAAATTCTTCAAGCTGGAATTTGGGTCTCCCCATTTTTTAAAACTCAGCTCCCCTCCCTTATGACTCACCCTCCGTTACCTGGGTGGTCCGGGCCCTCCTCTCAGGCCCTGAACTCTGAGCTCCTGCCCTGCGGAGTACATCCCACCTCTACTTACCACAGACCTGCTCAGTTTCTTGGCCTCCTTCAGGTCCCCCTTGGGCCACAATAGTTTTCAGATCCCCCAAGTTACAATCTTTTCCAGCTTTGTTTAGTACTACCAGTTTAAGTCCCATTTATTTATATTTGTTGTTGTTGCAGTTGCCGCGGAAGTCTTCTTCATAAAATCTTTCCCCAGGCTGATATCTTCAAGTGTTTTCCCCACCCTTTCTTCAAGGATTTTTATTGTTTCATGCCTTAAATATTTTATCCATCTGGAATCGATTTTTGTAAGTAGTGAAAGGTACAAGTCCAGTTTTATTCTTTTCCATGTGGTTATCTAGTTCTCCCAGTACCATTTATTGAATAGGGATTCTTTATTCCAGTATGTTCTTGTTTGGTTTACCAAGGATCAGGTGGCTAGATGTTAGTTTCATCTCCTGGTTTTCTGTTCCATCCCAAATGTCTGTGTCTCTATTTTTGTGCCAATCCCATGCTGTTTTGATCACTATGGCCTTGTAGTACAGCCTGAAGCCTGGTAGGCTGATGCTCCTGGCTTTGTTTTCATTACTAAGAATTTCCTTGGCCATATGAGTTTTTGTCCTCATTCCATACAAAACAAAGAATTATTTTTTCCACATCTTGAAAGTAGGATGTTGGTATTTTAATGGGGATTGCACTGAGTCTGTAGATTGCTTTGGGAAGTACAGACATTTTAACAATGTTGATCATTCCCAGCCATGAGCATGGTACATTCTTTCATTAATATCTTCTGCTATTTCTTTTCTTAGGGTTTTGTAATTTTCTTTAGAGGTCTTTCACCTCTTTTGTTAAGTATATTCCTAGGTATTTCACTTTTTTTTTCTTTTTGAAGTTACTGTGAAGGGAATTATCAGAGCATTTATCTCAGCCAGAGTCGCTTCTCATAACTTGGAGGTGTCTGCTTTTTTCCACCAGATTTGAAGCCTCTGGAGGACCTGATCTCCTCTTCATATTCCACTGTCTACCTTCCCCAAGGCCTGGTCTTGTGTCTTACATATATTAGGCACTGAGTTACTGATGCTAAGTTAAGTTGAATTAAGATCTTTAATAACAGATTTCAAATGTGTTATGTTGGTACCATTTAGTCTAAAACTTGGCTGATAATTTATGCTATTCCCCCCTTTCCCTCATCCCATCTTTTCATCCTGCTCTCCAGCTTCCCAGCATGCTAAGGCTCAGGACCGCTTTGATTATTAAGGTTCAGTGGCAAGGTAAATCCACATTGATAATCAAAACAAACATTTTCGTTCTTTGGTACTTTGCCAGGACTGTACGCTCTTTCTTTTAAGCTTTATAGGAAGGGTGTCTGGTCTCCTGGGCTTAACGATATCATCAAATATCTGCCTGTTTCCAGTTCCATCCCTCATGCTTCAACTCCTTTCTCTTTGAAAGAAAGTTTCCTGGAGAGTTTGCGTAGAAACCCCCAACCTCCAACACACACTTCTCTACACCTGGAGCCAGCAGCCCACCTGGCCATGACTGGCATGCTTCTGAGTCTTGGAGAAATCTACACCCCAGTGGCATTTGGAAGCCTTGGGGTTCCTTGTTCTGCCTGTAGGAGAATGTCCCTGTTGCGCCCAGTTGGTTAGAAGCAGCGATGTGGTTATCAGCCTCAGCTCTCTCTGGCAGGGGGACTTTGAGCTCAGCTATCCGACTTTTTCTAGTCCTATCAATTCAAGTTGGAGAACTGGAACCTACAGGCTTCGTCTGTATCATACACTCGAGACTGTATAATCAGTCTATTTTAACCTCTACCACGTAGCTCTCTAGTACTAGCACATTTTCAATCTTTATGTGTTATGGGGGAAAGGAAGGACCCCCAAGGTGAATCACTCTGGACTTTAAACCTCTGTCTAATTAGCCTCTTGTGAGTAGAAAACAATTGCTATCTTGACCATTTTGGAACTTAATGCATATTATTCTCCAGGGTGCGACTACTATGTGTTCAGTATTGTGGCAGCACTAGTGACAAGACCAATAATGATTCCTGCCTTCACGGAGCTTATGGTCTAGTTAAGAGAAACGTGTGAACATTCTACATACTAGCACCAACCATGGTAGTATAACAACATGCATTGTTAAGTGCTCACCACATGACCAGTACTACAGCAGATATTTAACATTTAATCACCACAACAACCTTATGAGGTAGGCCACTTACATCCCCATTTGTGTCAAGGCCCCAGCTCTTGACCACAGCACTGCTGTCTTTGTGATGACCAGAACTTGTAGGGTCATTCTGAATAATAATGTTATTGATCAATTATCAACTTTAATGTTTTCTAACTCTTTAATTGTGCAGGTGGAGTCGATAGAACATATCCACCGAGAACTGCTCACAGGTGCTAACATTTTAAAACTTCTTTGATTTAGACATTTGAAAACTTAAAAAAACATAGCAGGTCAAAGGGGTGTAGCGGTTCACACCTGTAATCCTAGCACTCTGGGAGGCTGAGGTGGGGTGGATTCCTTGAGCTCAGGAGGTCTAGACCAACCTGAGCAAGAGCGAGACCCCCAATCTCTAAAAATAGCTGGATGCTGAGGTGGGCACCTGTAGTCCCACCTACTCAGGAGTCTGAGGCAAGAGGATTACTTGAGCCCAAGAGTTCGAGGTTGCTGTGAGTTATGATGCTATGGCACTCTACCAAGGGCAACAAAGTGAGACTGACTCAAAAAAAAAAATAGCAAGTTGTAGTAGCCTTCTGTTCTCAGTACTTAATAAAACTGTGATAAGTTGAAATGAGTGACAACCAAAATGTATTCTTTCTTATTTAGGAATAGAATCTGAGACAAGCCTCTCTATGGTTTCATCAACTTCTCAGAAAGACCCTTCCTCAAGCTCTCCTAATATATTGCAGAAGATATACCAAGGGAAACAGATGTGCCAGAAGTTAAGTGAACAGACTGACCAACTGAAGACTAAAGTAAGACTTTTAAAGCTTATTATAAAGGATAGAAGTAACTCAATTCAAACGTGAGACTCCATTCCATTAATGAAAGATTACATATTCTTCACTGCAGGTACAAGAATTTTCAAAAAGAATAAGAAAGGACTCTCTCAGTCATTTGCAAGACAAGAGGATGGTAATTAATTTTATCCTGTCTTTATAATCTTTATTAGGGAATTTGAGCTGGGTAATGTAAATGACTTCATAGCGCCAGTGATGGGAGTGGAAATGCTTTGCTGAAGATGCAACTGTCTTTGTTCATGGGGGCTGGCAAAGCTTGGAATGCTAACTCTGTATGCACCTAGCCTTCTTTCCCTCTCTGGGGACCTAGTACTTCCAACTGTTACTCCTCTCCAGTCACCTCATTATATATCAGAGACCATGATGTTTTCCAGAAAAGAAGAACATGTAAGCCATTATGAAGGGTGGGCCTTCCATAGCTGATGGCCCTGATGGATTTAGATTATTAAAATTGTTGGCATTTGGCAATATGACTTTGAAAACTTTTAAAATCGGTCTTGAAGCAGTGCTTTTCAGGCCAAAATCTTTCACTTTCACATCCTTGCTTGTTGTTGCGTTTAGCCAAATCACTAATTGAAGCTGTCACCATCATAGCCTTGTTATCAGTGTGTGGGAAGCGGGCGTGGAGCAACAGGGCAAAGGGCTGAGCCTGGGAGAACCAGGAATGTGCTGACGTGAGGCTGCAGCTGAGGCCATGGGGTCACTAACATGGTAGGTGGGCAGGCGTCCCAATGTAGGAACAAGCAAGGTTCAGCACAGACTACACTCAGAAACCTAGAGTTAGGGACCATACCAGGAGGACCCCAAAGCTAAAAGACACAATTGATCATTCATTAATTTGACAAACACCATGCATTGGTAACTATGTCCCAGACTCTTTACCAGGCACTGCAGATTTGGACATGAAGAAATAATTTCTTTTTAAAATGGCTTATAGTCTCTTAGGAAGAGTAGACTGGTACATAGACAATTAAATGCAGATTAATTATTACTACAGATGTATAGAAGAGGGTCACCTTTGCAGGTTAGGAAATACTTTGGAAGGCTCCCTGGAAGTGACTTCTGAGCTGGGTGTTGTGGGAGAGTAGAAGTGAGCTTGGCAGAATAGGGGCAAAGGAACATTCTAGAAAAAGGAAACAGCAGGTGCAGTGGCACAGGAGAGGGTGCTGCCAGTGGGAGGAGCTGCTGGGTGCTGTGATGTGTGGTGAAGTGGGAGGAGAAGACCAGAGTGATAGAAGAAGGCCATATCACCAAAGGCCTTAAGCCATGCCAAGGAGGTTAGATTCCGTCCTGAGGCAGAGGGATGAGGCAGAACTGAAGGATTTAAAGCTGATAAATGGGAAGCGCTGTGGGAGGAAGACCACAGGTGCACAGGTTGGTCAGGAAGCCAGCATTCAAGTGATGAGATACGAGGGCCTGTACCAGGCTGGCCAGGACAACAGAGAGGGGGACAATCTCAGGATTTAAGGGAATAGTTAATGGAAAGTGGTGAATAAAGGACAGGAGGAGGCTCGGATGAGGTCCAGATTTCCGGCTTAGGTAACCAAGGTCAGGAATAAAAGTAGAAGATCCAGTTCAGAATAGGGGTGGAAGGCAGGCAGGAGCCAAGACGCCAAATTTAGTTTGGGACTTTTTGAGTTTGAGGTCCTTACGGAACATCTAAGTAGAGAGGCCTGGTAGGCAGGAGAGTAATGGGTCTGGCCCTCAGAGCTGTTTGGGCTAGAGATACAGATTTGAGCATAGCTGTGGGTTGCAGTTATGGAGCAGATGAGATTGCCTGGGCCAACTATAGCTGCATAGGGAACAGCAACCAGGGGGCAGACAAGAGGAGGAAAGACCTGAAAGGTCCGAGGAAGCCCTAGAGGAGCAGCTCCAGAGATGCCACGAGAAAGGAGGCCTTTGAGAAGGGAAGAGTAGGCCTCACCATCAAATGTCCAAGGCTGGGGCCAGGTGCAGGGGCTCATGCCTGTGATCCCAGAATTTTGGGATGCTGAGGCAGGACTATTGCTGGAGGCTAAGATTTAAGACCAGCATTGGTGGCTCGGCGCCTGTGGCTCAAGTGGCTAAGGCACCAGCCACATACACCTAAGGTGGCAGGTTTGAATCCAGCCCAGGCCCACCAAACAACAATGACAGCTGCAACCAAAAAATAGCCAGGTGTTGCGGCAGGTGCCTGTGGTCCCAGCTACTTGGGAGGCTGAGGCAGGAGACTTGATTGAGCCCAGGAGTTGGAGGTCGCTGTGAGCTGTGATGCCACAGCACTCTACCCAGGGTGACAGCTTAAGCCTCTGTCTCAAAAAAATAAATAAATAAAAGACCAGCATTGGCAACATAGTAAGACCCTCCTAACTCTACATTATTATTATTTTTTGAGAGTCTCACTCTGTCTCCCTGGATAGAGTGCCATGATGTCACAGCTCACAGAAACCACAAACTCTTGGGGTCAAGTGATCCTCCTGCCTCGGCCTCCTGAGTAGCTGGGACTACAGACTACCACCCCAAGGCCGAGCTAGTTTTTCTATTTAGTAGAGACAGGGTCTCTCTCTGACTCAGGCTGGTCCTAAACTCTTGAGCTGGAGCATCCACCTGCTTCAGCCTCCCAGAGCTCTGGAATTAACAGTGTGAGCCACCATGCTTAGCCCATTTTACAAAATAATTGTTAAAAATTAGCCTGTGGTGGTGGCAGGCAACTGTAGTCCCAGTTACTCAGGAGGCTGACGACATAGGAGGATCGCTTGAGCCCATGAGTTAGTTCACAGCTGCAGTAAGCTATGATCACATCACTGCACTCCAGCCTGGACAACAGAGAGAAAAAAAAAAAGCTCCAGACTGAAAGGAAAATAAGAGTGCATTGGATTTGGCCACAAGAATCCTTGGCAAGCCTGGGTGCAGTGAAGTGGTGGATGTGGAAGTGAGATTGCAGGGTGCAGAGTAAAGGATAAAGATCTCCCCAAAGCATGGATTTCAGGAACTGGCAGCACACAGAAATGTGAAGGGCTGAGCAAAGCAGAGAGAACTGACTTAAGGCACGAGTCTTCAGAGGCCTTGATTCAGGAAGTTTCTTCCTGACCGTAGTGGGTGAGTGGGGATCCCTGCCGGGACTGAGAGGAAAGCGGCTCCTGACAACGTTGGCCTGTGGTCTGGGAGTCCCGGGCCCATTTGGCACAGTGTGGGAGGAAAGCCAGACGGGGCCACAACGGACGCGTTGGCCTGGGAACGCAGCTGGGTTTGGAGTAGGTGTGCTATTTCTGCTCATTGATTTCACAACTGCAGACAGGTTGCAGCACGCATGTCTTCCATCTCAGGAACTGTCGTGAGAATTAAACGAGATACGTTTATGCCTGGAAAACTGTGCCTTCTTGTATTCTGAGATATAACACAATGTAAACTCCAAGATCCCGATTCTTAATTAGCTTTCTTCTCTTTTTAACCTCTTTCCTTTGAGCATCTAATTCCCTCTCTTGGCTTTAACTTCCTTCCTTCCTCGCCATCCTGAGAATTTAACCGCCATTTTCGTGCTACCCATTCCAACGTTACTCATCCTGACCTCTCCCTCCAGACATCCGTGTGTCTCTTCACTTGGGTCTCCCATGCTTGTTGCAAACTCAGCCTGTCAACACCGACATCTTCAACCTTGTTAGATTCCTTGCTTTAGTCAGGTCTGTCACTTCTCACTCCCCAAGCTGGAAACTTGGGCATCATCTATGGGACTGACAGTGGGGACTAGACGGCTGACTCAAATGGGAAACTGAGGACAGCTTTGTACACACATTATTTTACAGCAGTGTGGGCAAGGTTAAGGGAAACTGGTAAGGGACAGGAACGGGAAGACAGCGCTGCTTCACAATTAGGCCTAAGGAATACCAGGGCCTGGCGCGAGCAGCTATAGCTATAGGAACAGCTGATGAGCCCTCCGGCTTTCAGCAGAGGGATGAGCCAACCCAGGATGGCACGAGGAGGAAATCAAGGATAAAGACCCCTGTCGCATCCTTCTCCAACTCCTCTTTCTGCTGTTGCCTTCCATTGGCTGCAAACAACTGAAGCCAGGGCACAAGGGAGCCCCTTACAGTGGCTAAAGTCAGCTCAGAAGATGGAAAGGGGTCTGGGGGAAAATGGGAAATACACATGACACTTGGCATCTTTATACCCTATAACCAATATGTTCCCAGACTTATTCATTTTTAAGATGAATAGCAGTCACCATTGATTATGTACCATGCTCCTGGCACACAATGCATTATCACATTTAATTTTTATAACATGAGGGGAGGGCTATTATCTTAATTTGATAGATGAGAAAATTGAGAAATTTAGAGAGTTCAAGTTGACTAAAATCATACCATGAGTAAATGACAGAGTCTGAACTTGAACCCTGTAACCTCTCTGTGCTGTATTTCTGCCCTGGGTGACATCTCTCCACATCGCCCTTCCTCTCCATTTCCATGGATGCTGCCTGGGCCTGGGCCAGGCCCTACCAGGCTTCAGCAAAGCCCGTGTCTCTTCACCTCTGCTGCTTCCTCCTCTCCTATTTTTCATGATCCAGCAGCATGAGTCTCCCTGCTATTCGAAACTGGCTGGGCCTGCTCCCTCCTCTGGGCCTTTGCACTGGACATCCCCTCTGCCTGCTATGCTGACCTTCTCTCAGACTCCCACCTGGCTTAGTCCCTTGTATGCTCCAAGTTTTTGATCAAATATCATCCACTTAGTGAAACCTTCCTGTTGTTACTCCTGCCTGTCTTTTCCCAGAGAGGACATACTCACAGGGCTTTTTTCTTATGAGACAGAGTCTCACTATGTCACCCTTGATAGAGTGCTGTGATGTCATAGCTCACAGCAACCTCCAACTCTAGGGCTTAAGCAATTCTCTTGCTTCAGCCTCCCAAGTACCTGGGACTACAAGCGCCTGCCACAACGCCTGAGTATTTTTTTTGTTGCATTTGTCATTATTGTTTAGCAGGCCTGGGCCGGGTTCAAATCGGCCAGCCTGGGTGTATGTGGCTGGCGCCCTACCCACTGAGCTACGGGCGCCGTCCTCACAGGTCTTTCTTAAGTCGGACTTAAGTCTCACTCCTTCCAGAGCCTTGGCATAGTAGACTAATCCACAGCCTCTTCCCTCAGTGGTATAAATTCCCTAAGATTGGGGACTGTGCCTGGCACAGGTTTTTGTATGTCACACTTCTGGCCTGTGGCCAGATGTAGGCAGTGCTCGGGGACTGGGGATGTGGGGCTGAAGCCCCTGTGCATTGTCATGACCTGACCATCTGTATGTGGTGACTTCTACAAGACCTCTTCATAGCTCTGGCTAAATCTTCCTGCCGTTCCTTCCCCATCTCACCCTCCAGCTCCCCCTGGACTTAGACCCAAGCCTTCTAACTACAGTTCTTTAATAGCTCTGTGGCTTCAGAATACTTCTAGAAGCTCCAATTTCCTCCTCTATAAAACTGGGATAATAAAATCTACTTGACAACATCTACAACTTTCAGGTGTGGGTTAAATGAGGCACTGGGAAGTACTTTATAAAACAATAATTCTGCAAATATACAGGATTACTAATGTCCCACTTAGGGAATCCTAAGGGGCCAGAGAGAGAAGTCAGAAGCGACTGTGCCTTTCAGCCCCGTGCCGGGATGGCACTGTGAATGCTGAGATGGCTCTTGGGTTGTCTGTATTTGAGATGTCAGGCTCTGAAACAAAATAGCTGATGCTGCCAAAAGAAGACTGGTGGCTTTGTTTTGACACTGCTGTTGGGTGCACCTGTGTTGTGTCTTGGGGGAGATGACTACATGCATAGGCTCGCATGTGAGTGATTCCCATACCTTCACCGCTACAGGTCCTGGAGAACCTGCAGGGACATCTCGAACCGCTGGAGCAGAAGTTTCTGGCCACCAAGTACAAGCACCAGACTTTGCAACAGCATACCCATAAGCACGAGTCTGCAACCATCGGGGACTTTGATCGAGAAAAGTCAGGTTTAAACCAACTGTGTAACGGGGAGAGGTCAAATCTGCCCTACTCCAGGTAGGATTCTGAAGTGGCTCCCGGCTTCATGCTTGGAAAGCTGCCAGTGAATAAAGTGTCACCTCATACCACAGGTAGCATGGGGGCCCTGCTATGGTCAGTGCTGGGCACTGACCCAGGTGGAGCAGCCACAACGAACAAGTGTCTCCTGGGGCAGAGGCATGGTGCTGCCATTTATGTCTGGGTGGATGTCATTATGATTTGTTCCAAGCCCCAGAGAAGCAGAGGAAAGCCCTAGAAAGCCCACATGCTGACCACAGAGGGCCTTCTCCTCTCCCCTCCTGCCTACTGTCCCTGCCCAGTTCTTCTCTTCTGTTCCTCTTTTCTCCCCCTTTCTTTCCCATCCCTGATAGTTCTGGGGGGAAGTGGGTAGGAGAGATCATTGGAAGGTTGATTAGCCTTGGGGTGAAGGACCCACAACCTGACAAAGGAAAGCGTTTAAAGCTTAAAGCTAAATGATTCCTGAGTTAATTCACATTAGAAACTCGGAACCACCCTCCCAATTGAAGTTTCCAACTGGTAATTTTTATGGCATCATACTCTCTTCTCTCCACTCCGGATATTTCCAACCTGAATCCCAGGACTAAAGGATGGGATTATTTCCATGTATTTTCCTAATATGAATTAACAGAATCTATTCGGTAGGCTTAATATTTGTAAATTCAGCTCTTTCTATTCACAGCATTTTACCATGGAATCACTGTTGATGCCACAATATTTTAATTGTTTGTATTTCAGCACTAGAGCCCTGTGGCACTTTCCCCCCAGGTTTAACTTTTTCAAAATGAATGGAACCTCTGTCTACTTGTATTTCAATACTGAGTAATTAGACAGCAAGGATGAGGTTTTAATATTGATCTTTCCCAAAGGCTTATTTTCTTTTCCTGGAAAAAAAAATCTCTACATGCTTCTGCTATTTGTTTTAAAATTAATAGAGGAAGGATATTTATTTTCCAAGGAATCTCTTGTTTTGGCAGTCATGTTAAAGACAGGCTTCTATGCATGTTAAGACCAAAGTTATGCAATGTCTTATTTATATCCTAGTTACAACCACACTGTGCCTGGCACGAATATAAATCAAAGGACTTTGAACTGCAATTATATCCCATATACGGGAGAAGTTTTCAACAGTGGGGCAAGGGAGGGACCTAGCCTCTCCCAAAATCCAGTTAAAGCCACCTCAGGACAAGCAAAGGCTGATCAGCTTGAGCCTGGTCCTCTTAACTCTGGGAGGCTCAGGTGGGTGGATTGCCTGAGCAAGAGCAAGACCCCCATCTCTATTAAAAATGGAAAAATTAGGTAGGCATCATGGCTAATGCTTGTAGTCCCAGCTACTCGGGAGACTGGGGCAAGAGAATCACTTGAGCCCAAGAGTTTGAGGTTGCTATAAACCAGGCATCCTCAAACTACCGCCCACAGGCCACATGCAGCTTGCTGGGTGTTTTTGCCACCACTGCCTGTCCTGCTTAGCTCGTCCCAGGGCCCACAGTCTGGCCCTCCAACGGTCTGAGGGACAGTGAACTGACCCCCTGTCTAAAAAGTTTGAGGACCCCCTTAAGCTATGAGGGCTACCGCATTCTACCCAGAGCTACAGAGAGACTGTTTCAAAAAGAAAAAAAAAAAAAAAAAAGATCAGTCCTCTTGCTCTCAAATGTGCATAATGTAGTAACAAGCAGACTTACAAACTATAAGCCCCACACCTCCACACAAACTGCCACTCTCAGACTCTTGATATGTTGAGAGCCTTGTAAGCGTTGATCCCAAAGTCAGGTGGATGACTTTCTGTAGGGGCAGAAATTCTGCAAATTCGTTCCAGTGACTAGTCACTTGTTCACATCTCCTGTTGAGTTCTTATTAAAACTGCTTTGTTACCTTTCAAAGGTGATTTGCAAAAATACTTCCCTGGGTTTTATGCATCTGGTGCATCAGAATAGAGTCCAGTAGTCAGTAGATGCTTCCACACCCACAGACAGCCCAAGCCAAGAAATGTGGCCCTACCTCAATCTATCCTTTCTATCCTGCTATTCTCAGCATACCATCTTCTTTTGCTTTACAAAAAAGATTGTGAATTTCCTCAAAAATGCCTTTTCTCTATCTCCAAATCTCCACATTTCTGCCTCCCCTTCCCTCCCTCGCTCTCGACCTCTTCAGCCCTGGTCCTGTATTTTTTTTTTTTTTTTTTTTGGCCGAGGCAGGGTTTGAACCCACCATCGCCCTGCTCCTTGAGCCCCAGGCACCGCCCCCTGGTCCTGAGCCCCTCCCTTTTGGCCACTTTAGGTCTTGCTCCCTGATTGCACTTTCTCTTAAGTTTTTGGTCTCTCCTTGTTCCCTGCTTCATTTTCTTCTGTCTATTAGATCACAACATATTTTCCTACATTTTATTCAATGATCACTTTGGGTTTTCATGCTTACGTCTTTGCCCCCCATGTTAGGACAGCCTTCCCCACTGTACGAAAAAGACTTTCTCAGCTACAAAACCTCCACGTGTGTAAGGGAGGGGCTCACCCTTCCATCCCATTCATCTATATTTCTATTTCCACAGTATCCACATGGTTTTAAATGATCGTGGTCTGTATTTTGAAAGATTTCTTCTTTCAAAAAATTTTGGCTATTCTTGCATACTCCACTTACTAATAAGCTTTATAATCAGTTCCCAAGTTTCCTTAATGAAATTTCATGAGAATTTTCTTTAGGACGTTTAGAATTTACAGATATGATGGGGAAGAGTTAAAGATCTTTGCAGTGAGTATTTCCATCCAAGAGTATGTTTTTTTTCCACCTAAATCTTACACATTTTTTGTTAAGTTTATCATAGCTATTTTATGGTTTTTCTGAGTATTAATAGATTTTTTTTCCTGACATACAGGAAATATAGAGAATTACATGTTTAACTTACATTGGGCTATTTTGGGGCCACTCTGTTCCCAGTGTTTCAATTTTCAACTGGCTTTGTCTTCAGATCTGGCAGAGCATCTGAAAATATTGGTAGTTTTCCCCCTAACTGTTTACTCCTTATTTCTTTTCTTCCCTCCAATTCTTATATATCTCACTTTTAGCGCTTTATTTGCTAGGTTTTACGGAACATGGGATAATTAGTATTAGTGAAAGAATTCTTGTTGTTTTCCAACAGTAATGACAATTCTCCTAAATGTGGTGATTGCTGTAGGTTCAAGTAGATAAGCTTCATCTAGAGAGTTTCCTTTTATTCTTAGCTTTATAGAAGAAAGCCTTTGTTGTTTTATTTAGGAAAATATTTAATTAAATGGGATTGAGAAACCTAGCTTTTCTTTAATCTATTAATGTAGTAGATTAATAAATATCCTAATGTCAAACTATGGAATGAATTGGGAAAATCTCCCCTTTTATATTCTAGAAGAATCTATAAACAGGAATTAAGGTCTTGGTAGAACTCACCCATAATCTCACCTGGACTTGGTGCATTTTGGGGAGAGATTTGACAATCCTTTTTATTTTTCTCTAGTTTTTTTCATATTCTTTACTTTTGTTTTTTATTTTTATTTTTTTAAAAGTAACTGGATACCTCTTTGACAATCTTTTTGAGTGAATTTTAACTCTTTTTTTGAGACAGTCTCACTTCATGGCCCCCAGTAGAGTGCCCTGGTGTCATAGCTCACAGCAACCTCAAACTCTTGAGCTCAAGTGATTCTCTTGCCTCAGCCTCCTGAGTAGCTGGGGTTACAGATGCCTGCCACAATGCCCAACTATTTTTAGAGATGGGATCTCCCTCTAGCTCAGGCTGGTTTTGAATTCGTGAGCTCAAGTGATCTGCCACCTTGGCATCCCAAAGTGCTGAGATTACAGGTGTGAGCCACTGCACCCAGCCTAACAATTTATATTTTTCTAAATTGCCATGAAGGGTACATGTGAATCTTACTAAATGTAGAATATAAATGTCTTACATAACAACTAAGAAAATGACATGAAGGCTATGTTAACCAGTTGGATGAAAGTATTCTAAATTGTATATAGAAACAACCCACTGTACCCCCTGATAGTATTAATGTACACAGCTATGACTTAATAAAAAAAAAAAATCAAAAACAAAAAATAAATTTTCCTCTAAAGAGGCAAAAAAAAAAATAAATAAATTGCCATGGCTTTCTGTAGGGACAAGAATTCTGCAAATTTTCAACTGTGTCAATATGAAGTTTTTCTAATCCCTTTTGATTTTAAAGTCTTCCTGTCATTTTTACTTTCTTAATCTTATTAAGGTTTATTTTATGGGAAGATATTCTATAAGAATTTTTTATTTTATCAAATTCTTTGAGATTTCATTTATTTCTGCTTACTTTTGTGAATCACTTCCTTTTCCTAGGTTTATTTTATACTTTTTTTTTTTTTTTTGAGACAGGAGCCTCAAGCTATCCCCCTGGGTAGAGTGCCGTGGAATCCATGCTCACAGCAACCTCCAACTCCTGGGCTCAAGCGAGTCTCCTGCCTCAGCCTCCCAAGTAGCTGGGACTACAGGCGCCCGCCACAACGCCTGGCCATTTTATGGTTGCAGCCATCATTGTTGTTTGGCGGGCCCGGGCTGGGGATTCGAACCCACCACCTTAGCTGCTTGAGCCACAGGCACCGAGCCTATTTATTTTATACTTTTAAAAAATCTTCCTGTTTTGAATTCTTACTGATTTTTAAATAACACCCTTAGGGCTTTAAATTTCCTTCAGAGTGCTGCTTTAACCACATTATGTTGGTTTTTACATGTTGCTCTCTCATTTATCACCCACTTGGAAATATCCCTAATGTTCATTTCCTACTTAATCCAAAGTTATTTAGATGAGTGTTAACATTTCCAATTAAATAGGATTTGAGGGTTATCCTTTTCTTGACTTCTAGTGATAAAAGAATGAAGGTGATAGATGTATTTTTTGAGATAAAGTCTCCCTCTATGCACTGGGTAGAGTGCTGTGCCATCACAGCTCATGGCAATCTCAAACTCTTAGGTTGATGTGAACCCCTTGCCTCAGCCTCTCCAGTAGCTGGGACTGCAGGGGCCCACCACAGTGCCCAGCTAGCTTTTCTATTTTTTTTTTTTGTAGAGACCAGGTCTTGCTTTTGCTCAGGCTGGACTCAAACTCCTGAGCTCAGGCAATCCACCCACCTCAGCCTCCCGGAGTGCTGGGATTACAGATGTGAGCCACCAGACACAACTGAAGGTGATATAATTTTTAATGTTTTGGAATTTGAGATTTTTCTTTGTGGACCACAAGGTAAGTTTTTGTAAATGTAATGGATTCAAAGAAAATGAATTCTCTTTGTTGGTTAAATACATATATTACATACATATGGACATGTAGATTTAAACATTTTTCAAACATTTATCACATTTATTATCCTTCCTTTTTATCACATGACATAACAATTTTTTCATAGAATCACTGTTCTCAGAATCCCTTGCAAGGAACCTCAAAAAAAAAAAAAAAAATCACCAAATTCAGCCAAGGCAATTCTTAAGTAATAAAAACAAAGCTGGAGACATCTCTCTACCAGACTTCAGGTTATACTACAAGTCCACAATAATCAAAACAGCATGATATTGGCACAAAAATAGAGACAGACATATGGAACAGAATAGAAAACCAAGAGATGAAACCAGTCTTTAGTTGCCATCTGATCTTTGATAAACCAAACATTAGCCTACAGCAGGGGAAAAGAATCCCTGTTCAACAAATGGTGCCGGGAGAACTGGATAACCACATAAAAGACTGAAACTGGACACACATCTTTCACTGCTCACAAAAATTGACTCAAGATGGATAAAAGATTTAAATGTAAGACACAAAATAAAAATCTTAGGAGAAAGTATGGGGGAAAAACCTCTCAATGATGTCAGACTGGGGAAAGATTTTATGACAAAGACTGCAGTGGCCATCACAGCAACAAAAACAAATGGGACTTAAGATGAAAAGCTTCTACATAGCTGAGGACACAGCAATTAAAGCAAATAGATAATGGAAAAAGATATTTGCATGGTATGAATCTGATGAAGCATTGATGACTAGAATCTATAGAAAATTCAAATCAATCAACAAAAAAAGAGCAAACAATCCCCTCTATCACTTGGCAGGAGATATAAAGAGAACTTTCTCTGAGGAAGACAAATGAATGGCTAACAAACATTTGAAAAAAATGCTCATTGTCCTCGAACATCAGAGAAATGTATATCAAAACCAACCTATCACCTAACCCCAGTGAGAGCAGCCCACATCACAAAGTCTCAAAGCTACAGATGCTGGCATGGATGTGGAAAGAAAGGAACCTTTTCACACTGTTGGTGGGACTGCAAACTAATACAATCTCCCTCAAGGAGCTCAAATAATACCTCTGATTTGATCCTGTAATCCCACTACTAGGCATCTACCCAGAAGAAAAAAGAAATCCTTTTCTCATAAGGACATTTGCACTAGATTGTTTATCACAGCTTAGTTTACAATCACCAAAATGTGGAAGCCACCAAGATGCCCATCAACCCAGGAATGGATTAACAAGCTGTGGTATATGTGCACATGGAGTACTATTCAGCCACTAAAAAGGTAGAGACTTTACATCTTTTGTAAAGTTGGAGTTGAAACACATTCTTCTTAGTAAAGTAACACAAGAATGGAGAAGCAAGAATCCAACGTACTTAATTCTAATATGAAGCCAGTAGACAATCTGATATAAGCCCACATAGGAGAAAAACTCAAAACACCACCATCAATTCAAGGTGGAGCTGGAGAACGAGGGAACGGGAAGAGGGAGGAGAGGAGGGGGGTGGGTGGGTGTGCTCCCACTTAATGGGCACAATGTTAGGCTGTATGGCACACCTCTTAGGATGGGACACAATTATAAGAGGGACTCTACCTAACAGATGTAAGCATTGTAACCTAATTCTTCATACCTTCAAATTGACCTAAAATGATTAAAATGAATAAATAAAATCACCAAATCCACATAAGGCATAGTTTTGTTTTTGTTTTTTTTTTTTGAGACACAGTCTCACTATGTAACTCTCGGTAGGGTGCCGTGGCATCATAGTTCACAACAACCTCAAACTCTTGGGTTTAAGCGATTCTCTTGGCTCAGCCTCCCAAGTAACTGGGACTACAGGTGCCTGCCACAACTCCTGGCTATTTTTTTGCTGCAGGCCCGGGCTAGGTTCAAACCCACCAGGCTTGGTGTATGTGGCCAGCACCCTACTTACTGAGCTACAGGTGGCACCTGGAAGGCATAGTATTTTTATCCAACATTATAACTGAAACATCAGAGGCCCATAATGACTAAATGATTTACCCAGGTGTACACAGTTAATGGACAGAAAGTGAGAATTAGAGCCCAGGCCTTTCAAGTGAAACTATAAACAGGATGCCAGTCACGGTGAGCGTCCATCATCCTTCCTGTTGGAAGACAGGCCACATTAATAATATAGATCAATGCTATCATCAAGAACAGTTGTAACTAACTACAGTACTGACTACATAGTCCAGAACATGCCTGTTTATTTTTACTTAGAAAAGTGGAAGGTGAAATCTCCAGGTTGGAGATGCTACTTGAAGGTATTAAAGAGAAAACTGATGAAATCAAATATACTTCAGCTTGCTCCCTTCCTGCGAGTTCTCCAGGCATCCTGGCTGACTTGGCATCCACACTCTCTTCACTCTCAAATGAGGTAATACAGCAATCTACAGCCTAATTCTGTGCCAGGAAAAAATGATGTTTATGCATGGGTAGACTCCTAATTCATGGATTCACCAAATTCTCTTTTAATAGCTTATGAAAACTTTCCAGAGTTCTATGAATCATACTATTTAAAATGCAACAAGCTTTTAAAAATTAGAAGCTTTTTCAAGAGTTATTAGTATTTTTTATTTAGTTTTGAGACAGGGTCTTACTCTATCACTCAGGCTGGAGGCAGTGGCGTTATCATAGCTCACTGCAGAGTCAAACTCCTGGGTTCAAGGGATCCTCCTGCCTCCGCCTCCTGTGTAGCTAGGACTACAGGCAAACACCATCATGCCTGGCTAGAAGTCTCATTATGGTACCCAGGCTGGTCTCAAACTCCTGGGCTCAAGCAATCCTCCTGTCTCAGCCCTCAAAGGGCTAAGATTACAGCCATTAGTTAACTGCACTCAGCTTTTATTAATTATGTTTAACATTGTATTAGTTTAGGATGCAACAATGCAGTTTAAACTGAGAAGCCCACTGACTATTTTTTCTGGGTAAACAGCAAAATTTTTGTGAATCATGCCTGAAAGAAATAATTCTCCATAGTTTTGTACTCCCTCTTCTAAATGACAAATAGCACACGTGGTTAAATATTTCCCAGGAGTCACTTCTGCATATTCCTCAAGTTAAATTATTTTGGATTGTCTGCATGTACGAGATTAGGAATTCAGATCAGTCACCATCTTTCAACAGTTTTTGCTGTTGTAGCCTCAACAATCGGAACATTTCAGATTCTGAATTCTCAGAATTCTCAGAAATTAAAACTCTGAGAACTGAAGGCTCTAAATAACGGCCTTAAATTGACTCTTGAGTTGTAGACAGTAAGTGAAGACTCACTGGGGGCTGATACTCAAAACTCGGACGAGGTTTTTGTAAATGCTAAGGACAAGATGGTTGTATAACTGTTAGCCCTTCCAAAGAGGTGTGTTTGCCCCCTCAAAACACCTGCCTGGCAAAATCTCCCTCATTCAAGGTCAGCCTGGGAGTCAAGTCGTTTATGCACCGATACCCACCCCCACCTCGGGCAGCTGCTCTGCTCCGGCCTTTGTGTCCCACAGCGCTGTGCCGCTGGTCTTTGTGCCTTTGCGTTCATCTTTGTATCCTGAACTTGGACTAAATTCCTGTTACAAACAGAAGGCTCAGTGTGGTAAGTCCTGAGCCACCGCAGCTGGAACAACCGACGCCACAGTTCACCACAGTCCCCCAAACTCACAGCTTGTTACACTGCCGGTCCTGGACCCAAATTGGCTTTCAGGGAACGTTTGAGGTGCCCCAGGGGATGCTGAACTGATTTGGAGTCGCCTGGGTGCGACTGCAGCCCTAAAGGAAAGCCCTTCTGTGCGGCGCCCCCCAGATTTCCAAGTTGCAGCCTGGCTGCCCTCCAGGCCGGGACTTTCGTGGGAGTGAGGCGACAGGGACTCTGCGGGAGCCCAGCGAGCTAACCCCGCGCTCGTGAGTCCTCGCCCCGCAGCACCCACAGGCAAAGGGCACAGCCAGAAGGCCTGGGCCCCCCAGGAGAAGCGAATTGCCTCGCCGAGGACTGAGCCCGGCTCTTCGGGGCAGGGCCGCTGGGTTGGGGAGGAAGAAAGCCGGATGGCCACAGGAGGGCCACGCCGCGCTCTGCCTAGGTTGCTCGCTCCCACTGTACCAGGAGCACTAAATTAAATTCCTGATAACGCTTCAACAGCTTGAAGAAAAGCCAGTGGTCCCCCCAAGTGAGACTCCCAGGTAGCTCAAGAAGTGACCCTAGAATCCAAACTGCCTTTAAAACAAACAAACAAACAAACAAAAACTAGTTATTTGTCAGAGCAGGACGAGGCTGCCCAGGACCAACCTGATCAGAGAGCTGCGAGGCTGTCCTCAGTGGCCGGCCCTGGCTGGGTTGAGTTCTGCCCAGGCCCTCGCTGCTAACTATATAAACAGAGCCGCTGACAGGCACGCTGAAATTGGCAGAATGGAGATCACCTGGCTCTTTCCCTGCCTGGCGCCCTGGGTGTTAGTGCCAGTGACAGCTGCTGCTATTGCTAGAAGTTTCCCAGTCTTTCAGCGCTGGGGAGAAACCCGGCGGGGAACCTGGACCTAGACCAGGGTTTCTCTTGCTTCACTGCGCCCCGGAATCGTCTGTATTAAAATGCACTCTGATTCAGGGGGTCGGGCTGAGCCTGCAAGTTTGCATTTCCAACAAGCTCCCAGGTGATGCCAATGGGGCTGTGCTGGTTCAGTTCTGGGGACCGCACTTTGAAGTTGCAGGGGTCTGGCAGTTATTTCATTATGAATGAATTGGAAATACTGGGATTAAAACCCCCCAGGTCAGGGGGCGACTGTAGCTCAGCACCTAGGGCGCTGGCCACATATACTGGAGGTGCTGCGTTTGAATCCAGACCGGGCCTGCCGAACAACAATGACAACTACAACCAAAGAATAGCCAGGGGTTGTGGCAGGTGCCTATAGTCCTAGCTACTTGGGAAGGTGAGGCAAGAGACTCACTTAAGCCAAAGAGTTTGAGGTTGCTGTGAGCTGTGACACCATGGCACTACCCAGGGCGACAGCTGTCTCCAAAAAATAAATAAATAAATAAAATGCCTAGGACATTTATCCCGCCCGCCGGGTGTTTTTTGCTGCAGCTGCCTGTCCTGTTTAGCAGCCCACTCGTCCCTGGGCCTGCAGTCCGGCCCTCCAATGGTCTGAGGGACAGTGAACTGGCCCCCTGTTTAAAAAGTTTGAGGACTCCCGAGTTTTAGATAGAATAAGCCTACAGCTTCATTTTTAATGACTGGGTCATATTTCATTATATGGACATACCCTGACTCATTTAAACAAATCTCGTATTGATGGACATTAGTTTCCAGTTCTTCAATATTACTGCTTCAGGGAACATCATTTTACACAGAAACTTTTGTCCATCCTTGATTATTTCTTTAGAATAAAAACCTAGGATAGCAGTTAATGGGTCAAATGGTACAGACTGAAAATTCTGATAATCGCACTTTAGAAAGATGGGCCCCTGGTTCATAGGCCTACAGTTGGGCCTGCCCAATATTTTTTCCAACCTTTGCTAAGTGATAAATGAAAATTGGTATTGCGTGGTTTTAATCTGTGTTTGACTATTTATGAAATGCAGTGTGTTTTCATGTTTCTTGGCCATTTGTACCACCTTCTCCATATCCACATTTAAATTTACATTTGCAAAACTGAAACCACCCTGTTTTTTTTTTTTAAAGACAGACAAAGGCGAGGCCTGGTGGCTCACACCTATAATCCCAGCACTCTAGGAGGCTGAGGCAGGTAGATTGCTTGAGCTCAGGAGTTCAAGACTAGCCAGAGCAAGCCGGGTATGATGGTGGGCACTTGTAGTCCTGGCTACTTGGGAGGCTGAGACAAGAGGATAGCTTGAGCCCAGGAGTTAGAGGTTGCTGTGAGCTATGATATCATAGCACTCTAGCCTGGGGCAACAGAGTGAGACTCTGTCTCAAAAAATAAATAAATAGGCAGACACCTGGGAGAATATTAAGAGCAAATAGTGTTTGCTGTTGAGATCTTTATTCCATCAAGTACTCTAACAAATGCACAAAGGAGAATGTGGTCAAAGACACAAGCATACACGTCAGACGAATCCCAGCTCAGCCACTTACTCCTTATGTGACCTTGCCAACTTGCTTAAATTCTCTGAGCCTCAGATTACTCATCATTCAAATGCAGACAACGTGCCAGGGTGATGAGATGGAATGAGACTCTATAAGAAGCACCTGGCACATCACAAGCACGCAACAAATGGCTGTTTCCTTAATCAGAAAATGCTGCAGCCCTCCAAAAAACGAATGGACAAAGGATATGAACTTAAAAAGTCACAAGTAGGAAACACAATTAATAAATAAGCAGAGGAAAAAAATGTTTTCTCCCTAAATCACAGAGGCAATGCTAATTCACACGAGATACCAACCTTTCCTTAAATTAACAAAAACATTTTCAAGTGATAATTCCTACTGCTGGGGAAGGTGTGGTTGGACTGAGCCGTCCACATTGTTGGTGGCTGTGTGGTCTGTACAACGTTTGTGGAAAGCAATTTGGCAATGCATATCATCACACAAACATGTTCGCAGCCTTTGGCCCAGTCATTTCCTCAGGAAGTAATTCAAAATGTGGAGAAAGCTATGAGTACAATAATGCTTCTGCGGCGTTGTTTATAATGATGGAAAAAGCACGTTTATTTTTCTGCTTACATAAAGGGTAAGACCATAATAAAAGATAAGCAGTGGATGCTTTCAGATCAGTAATTGTTTTGTGCTAAAAAGGGACCTATAACCAATCATTTAGGCCTCCAGTTAGTCCCTGACCTAGTTTAATTCATAGCTGGATACGTTTTTCTTTGAAAAAGCTTTTAGAGCTCTAACCAGTGATCAGATTAATATATTTAAAAATTATCTTTCTAAATCTGTTCATCCTCTGGTGAAGCTTGGATTAATGGGTAACTAAAGAAAAGGGGGAAAAGGGAAAAGCATTCTCTCATCTGTACACCAGATTTTCAAGTCCATTCAGAGCAGGAAAGGGGTAAGCCAGGGGGAAGCTAACTTTGTTAAGCCCCAGGCCTTAGGGGCACAGACCCTCCTGAGAGAGATGTGGAAATAAGCACTGGCTCTTTCCTTACTCCTGTCCTGCTGGCCTCCCTTTCCCCGCCTGTAAAGAGAGGCTTAGCGAGTTCAGGGGGGTCTGCGCTGCTTGCCAGGCCACCTGCCTGCAGCCAGAGGGATGAGTCATATCCTCTGTCACACCCACAGCTGTGTGCACTTTGTGGTGCAGGAGGACCTCACTGGCACCTCGGGAAGCCAGGAACTTGCAGAGACGATGGCACCTAGTCTGAGCTGTGCCTTCTTGCTGCCGGCTCCTGGAATGGAGAAGTGACATTCCCAGGGTGGGTAGGAGTCAGCCCTGGGATAATGACTCCCGGGAGCATGGGCGGCAACCAACTGAAGGCGCAGGCTGAGTTACAGAGTCACAGATCTCAGGGCTCGGCACCCGGCCCCGCCTTTCTTCCACCTTACAAATCCTCTAACAGTGGTTCTCACCTGGGGAGAATATCCACATCACCAGGGGAGATTTAAAATAATGCACAAGCCTCCACCCGCCTACAGTATCAACACTGCCAAGGGGAGGAATACAGCTTTTAAATCTCCCCAGACAGTTCTCATAAGTCCCCTGGCTTCAGAATCAGTCACAGCATATGGAAGGTGGACCTCTAGGCTTTGTTTGAATATTGCCTTGGTGGGCAATATTATTATCCAGCACTGTAAACCAGCTCCCGCTGTCACTCCTCTCTCCTGATGAGCAAGTCTCCCCTGTTGCCTCTGTGCCCCCTCGTCCCAGGACTAAGCCTCACCCCTCTTTTCAGGGCCGACTTCTTCCCATTCCTCAGCAAGAAATCTAGAGCTAACAAGTCATAAATCGTGTAAAATCCTAAAGAGAAATCCTCAATGTTTTTGGAAAACTCATTGAATCAAGTGTTAGCCTGTGTGGATCCAGAATCATTTATTTGAAGCGCCAAGCTCCCTGTGGACTAAGGCCAAGCTTGGCTAATTTACCTTTGGAAGGTCAAGAGTCAAGGAGGGAGGTGCTGTTGAGTAACTACCAATAAATGCACATAATGGACTCTAATAGAAGCAGATGACAAGGGCTGAAGCTTCCTGTTAGCGTTCCACCCCAGGATGGGCGCTTGAGCATGCTATTGAGTTTCTGCCTCTAAAAAAAGAAACAGCGTGGAGTTTGTGCTAAAAATTACTTTGTGTCATTTGATGTGGGTCATTACCCTAAACCACCATGTCAGTCATCAGCTTTGAGCTGTCCTTAAAATATTAATACAAGGGACACTAATGAAGCTTACCCAGTGAGTCATCCCAGGCCTACCATTTTTATTTATTGAGTTAAAGTCTAATTTTGGGTTCTTAAAGGTTTATGATGTATAACAAAAATATTTTGACAATTGTAAAATATTCTGATTAGCATCGAGATACCAAAGGCTTCTCCTCCAAACTCCTACTCTAAACCCTACAGATGTTTATAAGAATGAAGACGGGAGGCTCGGCGCCTGTGGCTCGCGCCACTAAGGAAGGCGCCAGCCACATACACCTAAGGTGGCGGGTTCGAATCCCCAGCCCGGGCCCGCCAAACAACAATGATGGCTGCAACCAAAAAATGGCCAGGCGTTGTGGCGGGCGCCTGTAGTCCCAGCTACTTGGGAGGCTGAGGCAGGAGACTCGCTTGAGCCCAGGAGTTGGAGGTTGCTGTGAGCTGTAATGCCATGGCACTCTGCCCAGGGGGACAGATTGAGGCTCCGTCTCAAAAAAAAAAAAAAAAAAAAAGAATGAAGACGGGGACCAGCATCCCAAACTGAATGCACTTTTTCTGGTGGACAAGGTGGAAGGAAATGGCCAACCACGTGTACAATTGGATCTAGCAGTGGCTCCACTGCTAGGAGTGATGAGGAGTTGTATATGACTCACGAATCAGAATCTTGGTAAACTACGTAATCCTCGAGGAATTATTAATTTAAGGGAGGATTATATACTTGTTCCTCTGTTAGAAGATTAAATCTTGGCCAAGTGAGGTGGCTCACACCTGTAATCCCAGCACTCTGAGAGGCCAAGGCAGGCAAATGGCCTGTATTCACAGAGCTTGAGACCAGCCTGAGCAAGAGACGCTGTTTCTAAAAAATAGCCAGGCATTGTGGTGGGCGCCCATAATCCCAGCTACTCAGGAGGCAGAGGCAAGAGAATCACTTGAGCACTGAAGTCTGAGGTTGCTGTGAGCTGTGACGCCACAGCACTCTACCCACCAGAGAGACAAAGTGAGACCGTCTCAAAAAAAAATATATTAAATCTCTCTGATGGAATGTGTTCTTTATGAAGCTTGCTGATGTACATAACTGTTTTCATGATATTTATAAAATTATTATATATTTCTAGAGAAATTATACATATGTCAAACGTAAAATGCTTATCCCTTTATGTTATTTTGGATGCAAAACTCTGGATTTAGGAATGCACTTTAGCTACTTTGTCTTATTGAAAAACTATCTTCTCCAGTAGAATTACACTTGGCCAGAAGATTGTAGTTCAGAAAGGAATTTAGAAGCAGAAAAAGTCGAGAGAGCTAAGTTTTCCCACTTTGGAGAGCAGATGTTCAGATGCTCCAGAGGAGGAGGGTGGAGACAGAAAAGGAGGTATGAGAAAATATGTGACTCAGAGGGAGCACATGTTTTTCTAAGCAGAGGGAAGGGGCCTGGCTTCTCAGTTCCCACCCCAGGAACCCCCCACATCTGGCCCAGGCACCTCTGGACCAGCACTTCAGAGTGGCAGCCTTACTGCTGCAAGGGTATTTTGGGCACAGGGCCTTTGATACCAAGAATGACCAGCTTTCTCAAGGGGCTGAGCAAGAGCTATGTCAAGAACTGTTATTAATTAGAATTACTTTGGAGGAGGTAGGATTTCTGTGGAGGGTACCCAAGCTACTGGCAGGTCACAGGAAACCTCCTGGTAAAATGTAAATCGCTGGTGCTGCTCTCTGATGCCCCCTCGTGGCCACAGACAGCTAACTTGAACTGCACGTGCTCCTGGGGACTTCTGCCCCACAGGCATCGTATTTCATGACATGGATACACCCTGACATTTAATTAGACAAAACTGGACAGACGCTGGACAAAATCCACCTTGCTGTACACTTTGGACGCACTCAGCTTGAATTTATAGAGTCAAAGCTACATGATTTAGTACTGTATAGAACAGCTTCTTCCCTTGAGAACTGATTTTGAGACACAAATATGAGGAAAACTCCAGATTTTATAACTCCATACTTCAAATTTCTGTTTTGTGTATGATGATTAGATATCCTCTGAAGAACAAAACATTTATTTTTCATTCCTGTACATATTTTTATCTGGCCAGACTGTGCTGGGTGCAGTCTCCAGGCAGGCAGAGACCTCTGTGCTGAGGAGGGCAGGCCACTCTGACATCATTCCAGGCTCTGACATAAGAAATTCAATATTTCAGTTTTATCAATACTGTCTTTTTTTTTTTTTTTTTTGGAGACAGAGTCTCAAGCTGTTGCCCTGGGTAGAGTGCCGTGGTGTCACAGCTCACAGCAACCTCAAACTCTTGGACTTAAGAGATTCTCTTGCCTTAGCCTCCCAAGTAGCTAGGACTATAGGTGCTCGCCACAACGCCTGTAGTTGGTCCCAGTCCCCAGTCCCCCTCCTCACATTCACCTTGCTTGCTGCCCTGGCCCTGTTCCAATTCAGCATTTAGTTCTGTGCTTGCCTCTCTGTAGATGATACATTTCCTAATTTGGCTATTTTTTGGTTGTAGTTGTCATTGTTGTATGGCAGGCCTGGGCTGGATTCGAACCCTCCAGCTCCAGTGTTTGTAGCTGGCTTCCTAGGCGCTTGAGCCACAGGCACCAAGCCTATTGATACTTTCTTAAAGTAGAAGTGCACTAAAAGTTTATAGGATCTTATTTATTTTTCTTTTTTAATTTATTTTTTGAGACAAGTCTCACTCTGTTGCCCTCAGTAGAGTGCTGTGGCATAATAGCTCGCAGCAACCTTAAACTCTTGAGCTCAAGCGATTCTCTTGCCTCAGCCTCCCAAGTAGCTGGGACTACAGGCATCTGCCACAACACCCGGCTACTTTTTTGGTGCAGTTGTCATTGTCGCTTGGCTGACCGAGGCCAAGTTCAAACCCACAAGCCTCTTGTGCCATAACCACTGTGCTACAGGCGCTGAGCCAGCACCAGTTAATGGGATCTTAATGCACTTTTTTTTAGGAAGCAAAGGGTGGACAAAAAAGGCCATGGAAGGAAGGACCTTGGCGGATTTTCAGCTGCCATTCGAGAAAAGGCAGTGTGGTTAGATCCAACTCTTGGTAAGCTGAGGGGCCTGGGGCTGTGGGTGCTCAGTCTTCAGGGTCTGCTCAGGGTAGGCACCAGCTTGCCATCTGCTACTGCAAGAGCATTGCCCTAGCCTGTTGTATTTTTTTTGGCAAGATATAAAGAATTAATAATTAAATAGATTTAAATACCATGTGTTAAGTAGGGTCAAATGCCAACACCTGTTTCTAGCTGAGACCACAGGACTCCATGGAGTCAGTCATAAGGGTCCTACAGCCTGTCTGTCCCTGTCCTTTCCACATGACCCATAGCTGTACTCGATAAGGCCCCCTGAAAGTTGCTGCCAACTTGGCCACACGCATTTCACAGAGGCAGAGAAAGTCAGAGCTAGCAGATCTCCAGAGAGTATCGGTGTGTGGAATTCAATGATTTTTTTAGCTGTAGATCTCCAAAGATAGTTTTAAGCAGTTTCTCCAAAGATAGTTTAAGCAGAGAAACTCTCCTGGGTAAGGAAACAGTATGGCCGGGGGTGGGGGCTGCCTGCTTGGGACGCTCCTGGGCTTGACAATCTCAGCTGAGACTGATCTACCCAGCTCAGGCCTGAGGGGACGGGGGCCAGAGCTCACATTCACCCTCCTGCTGTCCTAGCCCTGTTCCAGCTCAGCATTTAGTTCCGTGCTCGCCTCTCTGTAGATGATACATTTCCTTATAATAATAATAATAGGTTTCACTTTCACACTTATTACATCAGATGCTGTAACAGAGTAAGGATTTTCAAAGTGTGGTCAGAGGGCCCCTGGGGTTCCTTGAAACCCTTTCAGAAGGCCATGAGGTCCTCCCTTTCCCAGCTACGTATCCGTGCAAGGATAACTCTGCAACTGATTTATGGAGATGCAGTGAGGGAATCAGCTGCCCCCAAGTAACCAACCCAGATATTCAATGCCACCCTCCTAATATCCTTCCTTTATTTTGGAAAGTACAGTTATTTTTCTTTAAAAATGTTATTTTATTAAATGAAATTGATTATTGTTAAATGACATAATAAATACAAATGTTTTTAAATGTCTCAGTTTAAAATTCTAAAAAAGCCTCTGAGCTGCCCATTCAGTCTTGGGAAAATACGAATGATTTCCCACAAGCAAAAATGACTTGCAGTTGGGACAGTGCCTGTGGCTCAGTGAGTAGGGCGCCAGCCCCATATACCAAGAGTGGCAGGTTCAAACCTGGCCCTGGCCAAACTACAACAAAAAAATAGCTGGGCGTTGTGGTGGGTGCCTGTAGTCCCAGCTACTTGGGAGACAGGCAAGAGAATCGCCTAAGCCCAGGAGTTGGAGGTTGCTGTGAGCTGTAATGCCATGGCACTATACCGAGGGTGATATAGTGAGACTCTGTCTCTAAAAAAAAAAATGACTTGCAATTTATGTATCAGTCCCTCTCTACTAATCCATCTACAGATGACTGAATGTTATATGACAGCTCTCCTGTGATGCAGGGGGAGAGTTCCACCTTAGACAGTGTACACACGGGAGATAAAAACCACATAAACAAAAGCTCTTTAGGATCCTCAATTTTAAGTGTCAAAAGGGTTTGGAAATAAAAAGTTGGAAGACTGTTGACAATGTGTAATCATTTAATGATCATAGCTTCTCTGTAAGGTAGGAATTAATAGCTTTATTTTATAGATAAGGAAATGGCAGCTCAGGGACATTAGCGACATCCCAGGATCAAAGAGCTAGCTATAGCTGTGTCACAAGGTACCCAGAACTTAATGGCACAAAACAACCAGCATTTCTCATCTCACAGTTTCTGTGGGTTAGGGATTTGGGAGTACCTTAGCTGGATGGGTCAGGCTTAGCATCTCTTGTGAGGTTCAGCCATCTGAAAGCTGGACTGGGGCTGGAAGATCTACTTCTAAGATGTTTCACTCACATGACCGTTGGTGGGAGGTCTCAGTTCCCTGCCCTGCGGGCCTCTCCAGTAAGCTACCTGAGTGTCACACGAGCTCTACTCTCCACATCGTATTTTATGACTATAATCGAGACTTACACCTCCTTTGTGTTCCTTGAGCTTTTTCAGGTTCTAATATAGGACACAGCTTCTGTTCTGCTCCTGGCAATGGATCGCAGAGTAGCAAATGTGAGGATTGCCACGTTAAGAGTCCCAACTCCAGAATCTGCAGTAAAGATCCGCTGAAAGGTGAGTCCTGCTGAGGGTGGCAGGTAAGGTTCAGAAAAGTGGGTGGGGACTGCCACTGTTCCCAGGCATAGAGGGAATTATATCTTTACTCTTTTCTTTTTAGAGTTTCATTACAAATACAATACTCCAGGACAGAATTACTTGAATCATAACGAAAATGGTGCCTTTGTCCAGCCCTGCCCTTTACGTGAAAGTAAAACTTCTTCACTTCGTAAGTGTATCTCCTACAGGATCCCATCTGTCAGCAACCTAGCATCCCAGGCGTGGGAGCCCCCTGTGACAGTGGCCACTGCTTCCGTCACTGCTTCCGAATTATAAGAAGGCAGCTTTCTCAATCTGCTCCCCAGGTCTCCTGCACTCGCCTGACATTTCCAAATCCAGCCCTACACCTGAAGGCAAGAGGCTGAGCTGGGGCTGGGAAATACGAAGTCCCAGTGAGCAAGGACTTCGAAAGTTATTAAGTGCCATCCCAGCGCATGCTGGTACCTGCTTATGTTTCCTGAAGAAATGACTGACTGGATAATCACCACTATTATTGATATTATTCAGGAGTGGCTAACGCTTTATAAATATATCCCCACTAAAGTCAGCATGTAGAGAAATAGACTATTTTTCACTCCTTAGGCATCATGTTGCTAATTTCCAAAGCACAATTTTGCTGTCTTTGGAGAAAAATGAAAATCTTGTGTTTATTTATAAAGCTGAATGATGAGGCTGTTCACACCAGACAGTTTATAATTTGAGTGATAGGAACTCACACCCAAATAAGGAAAGTTCTAGGCAAAATGTTTAAGTGCTAAAAGCTAGAGTATGGTATGCTAAGGGCCCACAAAGAGGAAAGAAAAGACTTCTTGTCTTATCATAGGACGATAGTTACACATGGCTGTCTGACACTGTCCCATCCTTGGCTTGACCCCGCAGAGCTCTTCCTCTCCCTCTCTGGGTCAGGGCACCAAAGCGTTTGCTCCCCTCACAATCACCAAAGCCCAAGACCAAAGACTTCAGCTGTGCCTCCTTTTCCCGTCCCCAGCTGCCAAATCCTCCAGACAAATACATTCTCCCAAAGTGACAGTCACAAAGACTGCAGAAGCCCCAGGGCAGATTTCTTTACTCTCTCCTTGGTCTTTTGGTCTCTAGCTGTGAGACCTATCGTTCTAATATGTGAATTAGAAGTGCGAATGCATCATCTGTGATTTTGAACGCCATCAGGAAGCATATACCGTAGAACCTCTGTGAGTTGACCACCCAAGGGACCATGGCAAACTAGGCCAACTGTACTGATACGGATGTGTGGTACACATCCAGTCTATGAAAATTAGGTCAACTTATGTAGGGAGGTAGTCAACCGTGGAGGTTCTCCTGTAGTGGCTAAGAGGGTAGCAAATTATAAGAAGGCAGCTTTCTCTCAATGTTAAAAGAAGACCTTTCCAGCAGCTGGAGCTGATGAAAATGGTGTGGGCTATTGCAGGAGATTGTGAACCCCATCTGTGAGACAGTGTACTTTGTGTCAATGCTGTAGATCTACACACGGGACTAGAAGTCAGCCAGATAACCCTGTGGTCCATTCTGACTCTGAATTTCTGTGGTTACAATAAAACTCAAAATTACACGTGGAGAATTAAAACTGAGCTCCTTAGGGCCTTTGCTCATCATGACCATGTCTGGTGGTCAGCATGACTAACTATGGACTTTCTGGTCTCTGCCCTGCCTTCTATGTCTGAGGGACAATCGCTCCCACTTTCCCTAGTCCAGTGGGACCCTCCGGAGGGTGAGTGAGACCTTGACGTCAGTGAATGAACAGGAGACCTGGAGGAAGAAAGAGGGGACGGCAGAAGAGGGAGGGAAGGAAGAGGGAACCTGGAGGGAAGGGAGTCTTAGTACCAGACAGGGCGGATTTTTGGCCACCAATGTGTCTCTTTTCCCTGGCTACCTTTTTTTTTTTTTTTAAGTTTTTTTTTTTTTATTGTTGCAGTTGTCATTGTTGCTTTAGCTGGCTGGGGCCGGCTTCGAACCCGCCAGCCCTGGCACTGTGGCTGGCACCCTACCCACTGAGCTATTGGCGCCGCTGCTGGCTGTCTTTCTGTTTTCCTTGGTGACTTTCCCACCATTTCTTCTTTTCTGTTTAGTCTATATTCTGGAATTGTCTTAGGAACACAATTGTTTGTTTCTGACTTACTCTTAAAGTTGGAAGGGATTTCAGGAATACGTTTGGTTCAACTCTTGGGAGCTATTATCCCTCCATTTGTCAGGCTTCCAGCTGAGACCAGAGAAGTTAGACATCACAGAAATTAGCCCAGGCACACAGCAGCATGCTGGGAAGCTAAACTCCTGCTCTCTTATCTGCTAGTAGAACTCCTTGGAAAAGTTGAATTTCTTTTCCTTAATTCAGAATATTTGACAGAAAGTTCTTTGTTTTCTATGTTACTTAGTTTCCTTATTTATTCAAATTGCATGAAATATTTCCTGCAGAAAAGTTCAGGAAATGATGCTCACATATGCACCATCTGGGATCATTTCTGATACTCTGAATTTAATCATAGCTAACATTTTCCAGCTCATTCAAAATCCCAAAGAACGAATTCAAAATCTGAAGGTGAACATGAGCCCACACCAGGAAAGTAAGTATTATTATATTAATATTATTACTAATAAAAATAAAAACATCTATCATGGGTTGGGTGCATATAATGAACTTATTGATTGCCTACTCAAGATCACTTAGGTCGTAAGTAGTGGAGCCAGGACTCAAACCTAAGCCTAAGTGATACTTAGATCATTCATCATTTATTCAACGAGTGTTTGAGCATGAAGAGCAGGTCATTGTGCGAGGTGCTGCAGACCCAGTGACACAGTCACCCACTGTCCCTGCCCCCATGGAGCTTAGGTTCCTATTAGAGGAGCTGGTCTGTATAAGCACCAAGAAGAGGTTGTATAGAGTGCCAGTCACCTCATCTGGGAGTTCAGGGAGGCCAAGCTCCAAAGGGTAGGTATGAATGACCCAGCGAGGGGATGTGGGCATAGGAAGAAATTCCGGTCTAAGAAAGCTTCCTGCTATGGGAAGGCCCCTAGCGTGTTCAGGAACAGTGTGGCTGGAGGCAAAGGTGGGAATGGCAGTGGAGCTGGATGAGGCGACAGAGGGAGGCGGGATGGGTGGGGAGGGCCGAGCGGGTGCTGCCTGGCTTGTCAGCTCAAGGAAGGATTTCAGACTCTGGGAACAACGGGACCCCAGTGAAGTTCTTTAGTGTTTTAAAAGATCACTGTAGCTACTGAGGGAGGGGGATGAAATAGAAGAGTCCAGGTTGGATGGAGCACAAAGGCCAAGTAAGGCCGGGCGCAGTGGCTCACACCTGTAATCCTTGCACTCTGGGAGGCTGAGGCAGGTGGATTGCCTGAGCTCAGGAGTTTGAGACCACCCTGAGCAAGAGCGAGACCCTGAATCTACTACAAATAGAAAAACTAGGCAAGTGTGGCAGCTACTCGGAGGCTGAGGTAAGAGGATCACTTGAGCCCAAGAGTTTGAGGTTGCTGTGAGCTGTGATGACACCACAGCACTCTACCCAGGGTGAGAGGGTGAGGCTCTGTCTCAGGTGAAAAAAAAAGCCAAGTAGGATTGTGCAATAACCCAGGTGAGATGATGAGGCTTGGCCAAGGATGGTAGAGATGGGGCGAGAGGAGTCTGGGTATTCAAGAGATAGAACCAACAGCCTAGCAGATCGGCTGGCGATTCAGGCTGTCAGTCAGAATGCTCAGTGTGAACCTACCACCTGCCCCTGTGGGGTGGTGCAGAGTGGCACTTAGGAGTGAGGCCTTTGGAGACATTGTGGGTTTTCATCTTTTGGGGCAGGTTATTTGGCCTCTCTGTGCCTGTTTTCCCCTCCGTACAGTGGGAATAACAGTGCCAAACTCACCGAGGATTGAGTGCATATGTATATAGCACTTAGAATGCCAGCTGGCTCCTCAGCAGTACTTGGCAAGTGATGACTGTTACTAATATTGTTGATGGCAAAGGCAGGTCTGACATGGGGAGAGAAGACACTGATGTCTGTGCCTTCTCCACTGCACCACACTGCCATCCCTGCACAGAGGTCATCAGTAGGGGCCTGAGGTGCTGGATCACTTCTCAGCCAGAGGATAAACCCAATCTGTCAAACGAATCTGTGGTGGGGGCCGGGAGGAGGCAAGGGCTCTGAGGTCACAAGCATTGGAAGTGAGACTTTCTGGAGATGATAGTGCTTACAAGTGTTGTATGTACCAAAGAAGTAATGCTTCTTCTTTACTGGGGAAAGGTGTGAGGGTAGTTCCAGGACAGACCCGTGCATGGGCAGGTTCTTGCGGCATCCCTTAGGGCCACTGCTCATGGTGAAGAGGGTAACTCCAGGCAGCGCCCTGAAGACTGTACGGCTAATGGTCCCCCTACCCAGAGCCATGCAGTGCACAGCCTGTGCAACACGGCAGCCCTGCACCTTCCCTCAGTGCAGACTCAGGCATCCCTCCCACAAAACTGTAATCACAGCGGAGCAGTCAAGGGCAGCCGGCTGCCTTAAAGAAAGAGGCACTGCTTGGTTTCTCTACTGCTTCTGCCTTGGGGCCAAAGCTCACTGGTGCTAGAATGAACTCAACCCAAGATACCTGCAATTGGGAATGTTGTGGGTTTGTTTTAGAAATATGGAAGGTAGAAGGTGGCCCTAACAGAATGAAAACTGAATAAAAAAATCTCTTTGGAATCTTGCCTCTTTCTGTGCCAAAAGAAAAGGAGACAAATTCCAGGAGGAAAGACCCTCACAGTCTTAGCAAGCTCAGCTGTGGTCAGCCACTTGCAACTATGACGGCTGTGAAAGGCAGGGGGTACCTGAGCCCCCCACCCCCAAACCACAGGGAGAGCCATGGCCAGACCGCAGAGCTGACCTCAACAGGGGAGTGTGCTTGACGTGCTGCTCTACACAAGTGTCCATGCGTTTTTGCCTTTCAGAAAACATCTTCAGCCTTCGGCGACTCACAACCCCGACTCTGCAACACCCGCAACCCGTTTCCTCTCCTGCAGGATCTCTGGAAGCAAATCGTCATGTGACTTTGATAGTATCGAAGAAACCAAATCTCAGGTGAGGGCTTGGAAAAAAACACTCTGGACTCCTTTGAGCTCGTAAGTTCATTGTTAGGGCCCCAAGAGCGGATGGCTTTTAAGTTACTGCAGTACGGGACTTCAGAAAAAGCTCTGCTAGAAACAGTCGTCTGCTCAGCACTGCCCTAAAAACACACAGCCTAGGCAGCCACATGGTTTGCATTATTCCTAAATTGCTTCCAAGGGAAACTTCCTGAAGAAAGTGTTCTGTGGGTGGTGCCTCTGCTACGGGATTCCCCTGGCTGGGGCTGGAAGGCCCTAGGGCCCATTCCAGTGACTGTGGTCGCAGCTGCCAGCAGTTTCCTATTTTCAAGTCAGTCACTTTAGTTCCAGGCCACTTTCTAATGTTTCTACATCATGCGCTGTGTCCCTGGGGCCATCTCAGTGGTTATGGCCCCAAATCCCCTTCGGTGGCCCCTCTAAGAGCTTTTGCTTTCTTTCTCGGCATCAGGGAAACAGTCCAGTGTACCACTGACCTCACCGTCCGGCTCATGCTCGCCAGTCATGCGTTGGCCTTGTTTCTGTCCCTTTCACTAACAAATATATTCCATCTCAGGCTAGTTTCCTAGGAAACCAGCCCTCCAAAGCAGAAATAGACTGTATGGAAAAGTTGACTCCACAAATCCCACCTTGTAATGTTTAATCATGAGAGAATCCAGTGAGCAGAGACAATGGGAAGTGTTTGTAATTAAAACATCTGGGCCTTTCCCCTGTAGGGTTTACACTCAGCGTTGGACCATGCCCTAAAGACAGCAGCCATTTTGAAGGAAACTACTGATCAAATGATTAAAACCATTGCAGAAGATCTTGCCAAAGCACAGAGATGGAAAAATCGAGTGAAGTACTAGATCAGCCCAAGGCAACCAAAGTTTAAAAGAAGAAAGAAAATTTGATCTTCTCCCAAAATGTATTTTACTTATGACACACTTTAGGAAGATGACTTTCTAGAGAGAACACCAAGACCATAAGAAATGGGGAGCACAAGGTACTTAAATGAAAAAAAAAAAGCAAAAAAACAACAAGCAAAAGAAAAAGGACTCCTGATTCTTAAAATCACAAGCAAACCAACGAGTATTTATTTTAAAATGAATTTCTTCTTCCCAATACACAATAAATCAAAACAAAACATGAGAGTTCCTTTTAGCTGTTAGTCTGAGAAACAATGAAAAGTCTGAACAAGCCCCGTACCAGTGAGGATGAAGAAAAACAAGTATTCTCATACACTGTGGGCAGAAGTAAGGCTGTCGGATCATACCTATTGGATTCCAAAGCACTTCTTTTTTTAACTTAGGGTTAACATTAGGGTGTATACAATTAGGTTACACTGTCTGCATTTGCAAGGTAAAATCCCAGTTATAGTTGAGTCCTTCACCCACATCCCCCTGCATTGTATCCATTAAGTGGGAATTTACTGAATCCCTTTTCCTCTCCTCCTTAATTGTATTTTTCTCTCATGTGGGTCTGTAGTTGCTCATCTACTAGTTTCAAATTAGAATTGAGTATGGGGGACACTGGTATTCCATTCTTGAGATACTTTACTAAGAAGGATGTTCTTCAACTCCGTCCATCCAGATAAATACAAAGATGTAAAGCCTCCATGTCTTTCTACGGCTGAACAGGATTCCATGACCTACGTATACCACACTTTGTTAATTCATCCATGGGTTGATGGGCCCTTGGGTTGTTTCACAACTTTGCAACTATGAATTGAGCTGCTGTAAACATTTGAGTGCAAATGTCCTTATGGTAAAATGATTTTTTTCCTTCTGGGTAGATACTTTGTAGTGGGATTGTGGGATCAAATAGAAAAGTCTACTTTCAGCTCTTTGAGGATTCTCCATACTTTTCCCCAAAAAATGCTGTATTAGTTTGCAGTCTCACCAACAGTGTATACGTTTTCCCTTCTCTGTGAACCCACACCAGCACCTGCAACTATGGGACTTTGTGATGTGGGCTATTGTCACTGGGGTGAGAGGTGGTTTTGATTCGCATTTCTCTGATGATTAGGGATGATGAGTATTTTTTCATGTGTTTGTTGGCCATTAGTTTGTCTTCTTATCTTTTGCAAGGCAGTTTGACTACTAGGAATTTATTTTTTGGCTAACTTACCATGACATACATAATAAAAGGGCACTGGACCACTGAATGTTAACAGCTCCAAGGGGGATATAATCTAAATACCCTGTATAATGAATCATAAATGACAATTAATACTCTGTAGCCAATGAAAAGAATGAGGTAAATTATCTGAAAGATAGGAAAAAGCAAGATGGCTTACCACATGGATAGTATGACCACATTTGTGTATATTTATTTGTTTTTGAGACAGTTTCACTATGTCACCCTTGGTAGAGTGCTGTGGTGTTACAGCCCACAGCAACCTCAAACTCTTGGACTTAAGTGATTCTCTTGCCTCAGCTTCCCAAGTAGCTGGGACTACAGGCACCTGCCACAATGCCTGGCTATTTTTTTTGTTGTTGTTGTTGTTGTTGTAGTTGCCACTGTTTTTTGGCAGGCCCGGGCTGGGTTCGAACCTGCTAGCCCTTGTGTATGTAGCTGGAGCCCTAGCCGCTGAGCTAGAGGAGCTGAGCTTTGTGTATGTTTTTTAAAGGGCACACATTTTCTGGAAAGACACACAAAAATCTTAAAAAATAAAACTTGGAGGTTTGGGGGAAGGAAAGAATTTTTACTTCCTTTATTTTCTGTACTGTATGAAAGACTTAACAATATGCTTTATTATATATTCAAATTATTTCTTGAGCGATCTCTTGAAGTCAGAAACATGCAAAAATGATTATCCAGCCTTACATTCAGGCTAGAAAAAACAAGAAGAAAAAATATGCAAAAATTATAGCCCTAGATTAATAAAATTTTGGAGAGGTGGCACCTGTGATTCAGTGGGTAGGGCGCTGGTCCCATATACTGAGGGTGGCGGGTTCAAACCCAGCCCTGGCCAAACTGCAACAAAAAACAGCCAGGAGTTGTGGCAGGAGCTTGTGGTCCCAGCTACTCAGGAGGCTGAGGCAAGAGAATTGTCTAAGCCCAGGAGTTGGAGGTTGCTGTGAGCTGTGACACCATGGCACTCTACCGAGGGTGATAAAGTGAGACTCTGTCTCTACAAAATAAATAAATAAATAAAATAAAAAATAAAATTTTGGAGAAAGAAAATTCATTAAAACTACACCGGGGACTAACTTGTAACATTTCATATACAATTACAGAGCAAGCTTTTGATTTGTTAAGACTGATTTATTACCTAGCACTTTGGGAGACTGCTTGATCTCAGGAGTTTGAGAACAGCCTAAGCAAGAGCAAGACCCCATCTCTACTAAAAATAGCCAGGAGTTGTGGCATCCATGGTTCTGGCTACTCAGGAGGCTGAGGTGAGAGGATTATGTGAGCCAAAGAGTTTGCAGTTGCTGTGAGGTATGATGCCAGGGCACTCTACCCAGGGTGACCAGGTGAGACTCTTATCTAGAAAAAAAGGAGGGGAGGGCAGGAGATTGGTGTGCTCCTACTTAAAGGCACAAGGTAAGGGTGTATGGCAAACCTTTGGGGTGCAGGACACAACTACAAGAGGGACTCTACTTAACAAATTCAAATATTGTGACCTGGTTGCTTGTACCCTCACAATAACCTGAAATTAAAAACAGAGAGATTGATATATTATCCCTTTGATGACAGAGCAGCAGATTATTAGCTCTTTCCCCCTTTCCTGAGGCCTCCCATCTCCTCCATTGACTCCAAATTCAACAAATCGTTTCCCAAACCTTAGAGTTTGGCTCAGTGGTGAGGAGGGAGTTGAATCTATTCCCATTTTAGATTTCTGGGCCAGCTGAGGCAGCTCTTTGTCTAGCTGGCTGGGGAATGGGGTTTGGAAACTGGTTTAGGATACCCTGGAAGAGAGAAAGCAGAGGCCAGAGTGAGGATACCTTTGACTTTATGGCTACATTAACTTTAGGCGATGACACTATAAGGAAGACAGCAAAAACCCGTGGCAGTATTCTAAGAGAAAAAAGGGAGCTTAAACTGTGTATGTTCCATTAAATATTAAAATCTGTGGGAGGCCATTTTTTTTGGACAGAGCTCCTGCACTGAGCCCCAACAGACCAGAACAAGTGAGAATGGAGTCACTTATATTGGGCGCCGTGAAATCAAACTGAACTTTAAAATGGAGCAGTTTTCCAAAATAACCAGAAGATTCACAGTAACCAGTGAGAAGGGACCCAGTCAACCAGAGCCGGCATAAGAAGTCTCCGCTGCTTTAACCCAAACAAATATACTAACTCTGAAACAACCAATTCACTTTTTGTTGCTTGTTTCTGCTTTCTTCAGCCTTTTTCTACCTATAAATCCCTGTGCTCAGCTTGAACAGAGTCTTTCTGTTTTATAGGTGGGATGTTACTTGATTCATGAATTGCTAAAAAAAAAAAAGCCAATTACATCATTAAACTCAATTTGTTAAAAAATTTTTGGACAGTTCTAAGATGCTTCCAGCTTCATGACATACCTAAATTTAACTATAACTGATTATCGCAACTGATAACCTGTTTTATATGCAAAGTATCACTATCCCATCCCTACTTTTAAAATTAACATGCTTCTCTGGCTTGAAATATTCTTTTTTTTTTTGCAGTTTTTGGCCGGGGCTGGTTTGAACCTGCCATGTCTGGCATATGGGGCCGGTGCCCTACTCCTTTGAGCCCCAGGCGCTGCCTGGCACGAAATATTCTTAAATGATCTTGGGGGCTATGGAGTCTCCCTTCCCCCATGCAAAAACAATCCACACTTATATACAATTTTGCAATTTTTAAAAAAAGTTCACGGACACCCTGAAACAAACACGTGGAACCCAGGTTAGAAACAACTACCCTTAATGAATATTCCTAACTCCTCAAATCGACCACTACAGAAACTTGTATTCATCTTTGATTCAAAAACGTGGCCCGACTCTGCTTTATTAAACCATATTTAACTGTAAGTCCACATTGCCTCGATGATTAGGGATCATTATCAACAATTGTTGCAACATGACTAACCTGAGAAATAGAGAAGTAGGCAGTGCCCTTAAGGAGTTCTGGAAAAGTGCTAGGCTCACATTTACAACGAGAATTTTATACTTACTGATTTTGAAGCCTTGGCCATCATCCTCCTGCAGTTCTTGTGTGTCAATTCTTACAGACTTTTTTCCCTAATTGTGTTCCAGTCATAAACAAGAAAAACAAGCTTGTTAAGTACCTGGTGGAACACGGGCTCAGCATTGCCCGAGGGCAACCGGGCTGCAAAGCCCCAGGTGGGGAGTCTGCACAGTGCAGAGGCCTCAGGTGCTTACCTACCCTCAGGTGCTCTGGGCTGCTTGCCCTGCCAGGACTGTTTGCAGAAGGCTCTTTATCTTTGTCAGAGAAAGTTCTAGCCACCCACTTTAGTTAACTCTGAGGTTATACAAAAGAAAACTCATTTTTTCATCCTTTCTATTATAATCTGTTAAGGAATTATATAAAATAGACCTACTTCATACTAAATATAAATATGTATTTAATATACAAAACATTGTTTTGGTAGTAAAAGTTTTACTGTAAAAGCAAGCTATTTCTTGCTGCTTTGATTTTAGAAGAAATCCACTTGCATCCTGATAGGACTCACCAGGGTAGCAAATGTCTCCAGCAGAAATGAGTTATGGAGATGTTAACCTTTTTTAAAACTTCTGATTAATATGAGGGTACATACAATTAGCTACATTGTTTGTATTTGTAAGGTAAAGTCTAAATTGCAGTTGAGTCCTTCACACAGGAAGTGTCCCACACACCCGCACATTGTTCCCGCTTGGAAAGAACCTGCCAACCTCCCT